AACCCCGCTGCCATAATGACAATAACCCCGCTGCCATAATGACAATAACCCCGCTGCCATTTATGACAATAACCCCGCTGCCATAATGACAATAACCCCTCTGCCATTTATGACATACATGACAAGAAGAACCGCTGCCATTTAAGATTTTCCACGTTCCAGAAGCCTTTCTTTGGTGGGGTAAAAATCAATAGGGAAGCCCACACCCTGACTGGGGAGACGACGGCAGCACCACCAACCTTCCTCCTAATAAAGGGGTAGTGGCTAGGCAGGGGGGATGGCAGCAGGTGGATAAGGGAGGTCGGTGCTGGATACGGAATGGGGGTGGATAGTGGGGTGGTGAGTGTGGGTAGTGGATACACGTGGGTGGTTTAAAAGTGGGTATGGCAAGAGTTGGTGGATGGTTGTAAGGTGTGGTGGATGGTTGTAAGGTGTGGTGGATGGTTGTAAGGTGTGGTGGATGGTTGTAAGGTGTGGTGGATGGTTGTAAGGTGTGGTGGATGGTTGTAAGGGGTGGTGGATGGTGGATAGTAGGAGAGGGGGGGATGGTATGTGGTGGTGGATAATGGGGGTAATCTCCTGTACCTCTCACCTCCCAGCGCCTCACTTCACCTCCCAGTGCCTCACTTCACCTCCCAGTGCCTCGCCTCATCTCCCAGTGCCTCACCTCACCTCCCAGTGCCTCACCTCACCTCCCAGTGCCTCACCTCACCTCCCAGTGCCTCACCTCACCTCCCAGTGCCTCACCTCCCAATGCCTCACCTCACCTCCCAGTGCCTCACCTTACCTCCCAGTGCCTCACCTCACCTCCCAGTGCCTCACCTCCCAGTGCCTCACCTCACCTCCCAGCGCCTCGCCTCACCTCCCAGTGCCTCGCCTCACCTCCCAGTGCCTCACCTTACCTCCCAGTGCCTCACCTCACCTCCCAGTGCCTCACCTCCCAGTGCCTCACCTCACCTCCCAGCGCCTCGCCTCACCTCCCAGTGCCTCGCCTCACCTCGCAGTGCCTCACCTCACAGTGCCTCACCTCATCTCCCAGTGCCTCACCTCACCTCCCAGTGCCTCACCTCACCTCCCAGCGCCTCAACTCACCTCCCAGTGCCTCGCCTCATCTCCCAGTGCCTCACCTCACCTCCCAGTGCCTCTCCTCACCTCCCAGTGCCTCACCTCACCTCTCAGTACCTCACCTCTCCTCCCAGTGCCTCACCTCACCTCCCAGAGCCTCACCTCACCTCCCAGTGCCTCACCTCACCTCCCAGTGCCTCAACTCAAATCCCAGTGCCTCACCTCGCCTTCCAGTGCCTCACCTCACTTCCCAGTGCCTCACCTCACTTCCGAGTGCCTCACCTCACCTCTCAGTGCCTCAACTCACCTCTCAGTGCCTCACCTCACCTCCCAGTGCCTCACTTCACTTCCCAGTGCCTCACCTCACCTCCCAGTGCCTCTCCTCACCTCCCAGAGCCTCACCACCTCCCAGCCTCACCTCACCTCACAGTACCTCACCTCGCAGTACCTCACCTCACAGTACCTCACCTCACCTCGCAGTACCTCACCTCACAGTACCTCACCTCACAGTGCCTCACCTCACCTCACAGTGCCTCACCTCACCTCACAGTGCCTCACCTCACCTCCCAGTGCCTCACCTCACCTCCCAGTGCCTCACCTCCCAGTGCCTCACCTCACAGTGCCTCACCTCACCTCCCAGTGCCTCACCTCACCTCTCAGTGCCTCACCTCACCTCCCAGTGCCTCACCTCACCTCCCAGTGCCTCACCTCACCTCCCAGTGCCTCACCTCACCTCCCAGTGCCTCACCTCACCTCCCAGTGCCTCACCTCACCTCCCAGTGCCTCACCTCACCTCCCAGAGCCTCACCTCACCTCCCAGTAACTCACTTTTAGTAACTCACCTCACCTCCCAGTGCCTCAACTCACCTCCCAGTGCCTCACCTCGCCTCCCAGTGCCTCACCTCACTTCCCAGTGCCTCACCTCACTTCCCAGTGCCTCACCTCACCTCTCAGTGCCTCAACTCTCCTCCCAGTGCCTCACCTCACCTCCCAGTGCCTCACCTCACCTCCCAGTGCCTCACCTCACTTCCCAGTGCCTCACCTCACCTCCCAGTGCCTCTCCTCACCTCCCAGAGCCTTACCTCACCTCCCAGTGCCTCACCTCCCAGTGCCTCACCTCGCAGTGCCTCACCTCCCAGTGCCTCACCTCACCTCCCAGTACCTCACCTCGCAGTACCTCACCTTACCTCCCAGTGCCTCACCTCACCTCCCAGTGCCTCACCTCCCAGTGCCTCACCTCACCTCCCAGCGCCTCGCCTCACCTCCCAGTGCCTCGCCTCACCTCCCAGTGCCTCACCTTACCTCCCAGTGCCTCACCTCACCTCCCAGTGCCTCACCTCCCAGTGCCTCACCTCACCTCCCAGCGCCTCGCCTCACCTCCCAGTGCCTCGCCTCACCTCGCAGTGCCTCACCTCACAGTGCCTCACCTCATCTCCCAGTGCCTCACCTCACCTCCCAGTGCCTCACCTCACCTCCCAGCGCCTCAACTCACCTCCCAGTGCCTCGCCTCACCTCCCAGTGCCTCACCTCACCTCCCAGTGCCTCGCCTCACCTCCCAGTGCCTCACCTCACCTCTCAGTTCCTCACCTCACCTCCCAGTGCCTCACCTCACCTCCCAGAGCCTCACCTCACCTCCCAGTGCCTCACCTCACCTCCCAGTGCCTCAACTCAAATCCCAGTGCCTCACCTCGCCTTCCAGTGCCTCACCTCACTTCCCAGTGCCTCACCTCACTTCCCAGTGCCTCACCTCACCTCTCAGTGCCTCAACTCACCTCCCAGTGCCTCACCTCACCTCCCAGTGCCTCACCTCACTTCCCAGTGCCTCACCTCACCTCCCAGTGCCTCTCCCCACCTCCCAGAGCCTCACCTCACCTCACAGTACCTCACCTCGCAGTACCTCACCTCGCAGTGCCTCACCTCACCTCGCAGTACCTCACCTCCCAGTACCTCACCTCACAGTGCCTCACCTCACCTCACAGTGTCTCACCTCACCTCACAGTGCCTCACCTCACCTCCCAGTGCCTCACCTCACCTCCCAGTGCCTCACCTCCCAGTGCCTCACCTCTCAGTGCCTCACCTCACCTCCCAGTGCCTCACCTCACCTCTCAGTGCCTCACCTCACCTCCCAGTGCCTCACCTCACCTCCTAGTGCCTCACCTCACCTCCCAGTGCCTCACCTCACCTCCCAGTGCCTCACCTCACCTCCCAGTGCCTCACCTCACCTCCCAGTGCCTCACCTCACCTCCCAGAGCCTCACCTCACCTCCCAGTGCCTCACCTCACCTCCCAGTGCCTCAACTCACCTCCCAGTGCCTCACCTCGCCTCCCAGTGCCTCACCTCACTTCCCAGTGCCTCACCTCACTTCCCAGTGCCTCACCTCACCTCTCAGTGCCTCACCTCACCTCCCAGTGCCTCACCTCACCTCCCAGTGCCTCACCTCACCTCCCAGTGCCTCACCTCACTTCCCAGTGCCTCACCTCACCTCCCAGTGCCTCACCTCACCTCCCAGTGCCTCACCTCACCTCCCAGTGCCTCACCTCCCCTCCCACCTCCCTGCCTCACCTCCCAGAGCCTTACCTCACCTCCCAGTGCCTCACCTCCCAGTGCCTCACCTCACCTCCCAGTGCCTCACCTCACCTCCCAGTGCCTCACCTCACCTCCCAGTGCCTCACCTCACCTCCCAGTGCCTCACCTCACCTCTCAGTGCCTCACCTCACCTCCCAGTGCCTCACCTCACCTCCCAGTGCCTCACCTCACCTCCCAGTACCTCACCTAACCTCCCAGTGCCTCACCTCACCTCACCTCACAGTGCCTCACCTCATCCCCCAATTCCTCCCCTTAACCTTCGGGTGGTTCCTATCCACTACCAGTACCTTCCCTACATACCATGGATCTCCCCCCTCCCCCTCCCCCTCCCCCCAGTACCAGCTCCCCCCCTCCAATACCTCCGCTGCCTCCGGGACTCCAAGAATGCGCTCCAAACTCACTCCGCCAATCACTTGACCGCGTCGAAGCTTTCCAACATGGGATGGATGGGATGGATGGGGTGGATGGCTTCTGTGTGAGTGTATTGGGTGGAGAGGCAGCGGAAACGAAGGCGAGAGGAGAATGGGAGGGGATAAAACGGGGGAGAGAGAGAAAGGGGGGCATTTGAGGGGGGTAAGGAGGGAGATGGAGTGAGAGAGGGAGAGGGAGGTGTCGGGTATTGATCGTGGCTTGCAGCGTTGCTCGCCAGGGGGGGAGTAGTTACTACAGCCATCCAAAATATTCATATTGGGATCGATACAATGGCAGCCATGATTTCGTCGAGGCAAATGACGCTAAGAAGCGGCCCCCGGGCCCGGGCGCCGGCGTCCAGAGAGGTGTAGAGGGGCTGCGGGAGTGTTATTGTTTTAAAGCGGAAAAAGAGAGCAATGGCAAGCCGCTTAAATGATCTGATAGTGATTGTTGGTTGGTGTGAGAAACGCAACCTTAAGAGCGCTCTGTCGATCGGGTCCCTGTCCCCGCCTGTGCTCGCGGAGCTCTGGGCACTCACGGAATATAATAGTGGAAACACACGCACACGCACGCACGCATGCGCACACACACACACACACACACACACACACACACACACACACACACACACACACACACTTACTACTAGGTGGGTACACACACACGCACACGCACCAGTGGACATCGATTACCCACCCACATGTCAAAAACAGCAAAAAACCAAAGATGTTGAAGGAGAGGTGTCCAGTGCAATGTGTGTGTGTGGAGGATGGTGGCGAGAGAGAGAGAGAGAGAGAGAGAGAGAGAGAGAGAGAGAGAGAGAGAGAGAGAGAGAGAGAGAGAGAGAGAGAGAGAGAGAGAGAGGCCGCGCCGCAAGACGACAGCAGCCGACGTGGGATGGCAGCAGAGGGTCGTATAGTGGCTGGCGGAAAGCAGCCATGCTCGGCTCCCCCCCGCAGCAGCAGCAGCAGCAGCAGCAGCAGCAGCAGCGGTGCCAGCTCCGGCCAGGTATCACCAGGGCCACTTTAAAAACAGACTCTGCAAAGGGGGGACGAGTGAGCCCCAGCCCGTCTGGCGGAGGTAGACTTATCGGGCACTGTCTATGTAGAAGCTCCTCCGGTACTGGGGTACGTCTGGGGTACCTGTGAACATGTCTGGGGGTACACACAGTACCAAGTAAAGACGGGGTTTTGGGCCAGAGTTGCTTGTAAGAAGGGCTAGTAATGCCTCTGCCGAGTGACTGTAATAGGTGATAAGTATCGGAAGAGTGGTTTTGAGAGAACGCCAAGGAGTTACGTTTCCTATAAACACAGGATGTACCGGGGCATTAGGCCGAGGAGTACCCAGAATCAGGAGTACCCAGGCCAAGAAGTACCCAGGGAAGTTCTCGGAACACAAGCCCAAGGACCACTAGAGTAACGAGCACATGTTGTCCATAAAGAGTACCTTAAGGACTTGTGACAGAGTACCATGGTGCTTATATGACAATGACAGTGGATGAAAAGACGGCATTGATGAGGTGTTTTTTTCCCCCAGGATTCACGGGAGGGGCGAGTGTGGAATGCACATTTAAACACTGATTGTATCGCGATACATTACCATGCACACACACACACACACACACACACACACACACACACACACACACACACACACACACACACACACACACACCACACACACACACACATATGATGTTTGCTTAGACGCTCACGCTCCGGCAAACACCAAGATTTTTATGTTTTTCTAAATGCAGACGAAGTCACTACCCTCACACACACCACACACACACACACACACACACACACACACACACACACACACACACACACACACACACACACACACACTACAAAGAACATTTACAGTATCAGAATATATAAAATGATTCTAACAACCGCCGGGCAGATCCATACACTGATTCAAATGTAGGCCTGATATACTCCAAGTGTTTGAGTATAAGTTTGAGTATAAGTGGAGTATAAGTGGAGTATAAGTATAAGCTGGCTCGTCTGGGAGCCCAAGAGCTGAAGTTTCTTAGAAGGTACAAGCACTTTGCCCCAAGAGGGTAACACTAAACTGCAGTTGGAAATAAGTATTATGTGTAGACTATTTTTATGTGTAAATCTTTAATGTTTTTATGTAAAAATAAATGTATGTTTATGTAAATTTTATGTTTTTATGTCAAATCTGATTTGTGTTACTCCAGTTACTCCATCTATCATCATTCCATTATGCAGGAAGAACCGCACGTCTATGGGTCATCCAATAATGTTAGCAGACTTCTAGATGTTACCACGTTACCACTGCTAGGCTTAGGCTCGGCTACAAGGACCTCTGGCAGTTTGCAATATCTACTAAAGTAGAGTTAACTAAATGTAAACTCTGTCAGCAAAACTATTCACATTGCATCATTATATAACTGAATGCAAAAAATCTCGGAATTCAGAGATAATACTTAGCTAATGACACAGGTAAGTACTCTGTATTTGTTGACATCAAAGGAGCCTTCGACAAAGCAGAGGGGATTGCGATCCTGGACGAGCTTGCATGCATGGGTGTCAAGGGGAGACTCATGAAATGGGTTGAAGATTACCTCACAGGGAGGAAAGTCAAGGTCTGCTTCAACGGAGCAGTCTTCAGAACAATGAGTCTGGACCTCGGGACCCCTCAAGGAGGGGGTCCCGAGGGGGTCCCAACATACTTATGAACACCATTGCAAATACTGAATTTCCGGAAGGAACACAGCAAGTGGGATATGCAGATGTTCTAATACAAGCCACAATCTTAGGAAAATAAAACCATTGAGTTCATTGAGCTCCTTGGAAGGAAATGTGTTGAACTCGGTTTCACTCTCTCCACAAACAAAACAAAATCATATTGTCATCACAAGCGAAGAGAAAATGAAGTATTACAAATTAATGGTGTAGCACTTGAATGGGTTGACCACTATCAGTATTTTGAGGTCACTGTCGGCTCTAACAAGGGGAAGAAAGAGGAGCTCAACCAGCTTATAGGAACATGCAAAAGTCGACTCAGGGCACTGAAAGCTATGACCTGGAATGGTCATGGAGCCTCTATTGCCGTGCTTAAAATGATATACACAGCCTATGTGCGCTCCGTCATAGACTATGCCGCACCAGTTCTGTGCACCTACTCCCAAAGCGATATGAAAAGGCTTGAAAGCATTCAAAATGAAGCCATGACAATCATTCTTGGAGTTCCAAGAACTTCCAAAGCGTCTAATCTACGAGAGTTGTCCCTCCCCCAGTCTTAAAAGCAGAATACAGGAACTGAATGCTAAGCTTGCAATTACGATAGCCAGAGATCCCCATTACAATGATAATGACAAGAAAAAAATGAGTTTTGTGCTACTTTCAGAGGGAAACAGGAGAAGCAAACAATGGCATCACAGATCAGTCTGCTACCTGGAAGAGCTTCACCTGCTTGAGCAAGCCCGTGAGCTCCTGCCTGTAGAGAGGTTACCTCCCTGGGAGGATCAACCACGTAGGATCACCATCAATGAGATGACAATTAAAAAATCCAAAATGATACCACAAGAAATGAGGCATAAGTGTCTTGGGGAAATTTATAAAGAAGCTGGGAATGAATTAGATCAAATCTACACAGATGGGTCATCTAATCCTGTCATTGGCAGGGCTGGTGTAGCATACACTGTAATTAGGAATAATGACTTTCAAAACACAAGTGAAGAAAATGCACTTATGAGAGACTCCACACATCACACACGACCATACACCACACACACCACACACACACCACACACCACACACACACACACACACACACACACACACACACGACCATACCACACACCACACACACCACACACACACACACACACACACACACACCACACACACACACACACACACACACACACACACACACACACACACACACACACACACACACACACACACACACACACACACACACACACACACACACACACACACACACACCACACACACACACACACACACACACACACACACACACACACACACACACACACACCAAACACACACACCACATACACACACACACACACACACACACACACACACACCACACACACATACACACACACACACACACACACACACACACACACACACACACACACACACACACACACACGCGAATCTTGCTCCTTTACTACACAATAAAGTTCATCGTCCCTATTACACTGTTCCGCACACTCTCCCATCACTCTCACAGCTGCCTGCTCTCACTCTCACAGCTGCCTGCTCTCACTCTCACAGCTGCCTGCTCTCACTCTCACAGCTGCCTGCTCTCACTCTCACAGCTGCCTGCTCTCACTCTCACAGCTGCCTGCTCTCACTCTCACAGCTGCCTGCTCTTACTCTCACAGCTGCCTGCTCTCACTCTTACAGCTGCCTGCTCTTACTCTTACAGCTGCCTGCTCTCACTCTCACAGCTGCCTGCTCTCACTCTTACAGCTGCCTGCTCTCACTCTCACAGCTGCCTGCTCTCACTCTTACAGCTGCCTGCTCTCACTCTCACAGCTGCCTGCTCTCACTCTTACAGCTGCCTGCTCTCACTCTTACAGCTGCCTGCTCTCACTCTTACAGCTGCCTGCTCTCACTCTTACAGCTGCCTGCTCTCACTCTTACAGCTGCCTGCTCTCACTCTCACAGCTGCCTGCTCTCACTCTCACAGCTGCCTGCTCTCACTCTCACAGCTGCCTGCTCTCACTCTTACAGCTGCCTGCTCTTACTCTTACAGCTGCCTGCTCTCACTCTTACAGCTGCCTGCTGCTCACTCTTACAGCTGCCTGCTCTCACTCTCACAACTGCCTGCTCTCACTCTTACAGCTGCCTGCTCTCACTCTCACAGCTGCCTGCTCTCACTCTCACAGCTGCCTGCTCTCACTCTTACAGCTGCCTGCTCTCACTCTCACAGCTGCCTGCTCTCACTCTTACAGCTGCCTGCTCTCACTCTTACAGCTGCCTGCTCTCACTCTTACAGCTGCCTGCTCTCACTCTCACAACTGCCTGCTCTCACTCTTACAGCTGCCTGCTCTCACTCTTACAGCTGCCTGCTCTTACTCTTACAGCTGCCTGCTCTCACTCTCACAGCTGCCTGCTCTCACTCTGCTCTCACTCACAGCTGCCTGCTCTTACTCTCACAGCTGTCTGCTCTCACTCTTACAGCTGCCTGCTCTCACTCTTACAGCTGCCTGCACTCTTACAGCTGCCTGCTCTCACTCTCACAGCTGCCTGCTCTCACTCTTACAGCTGCCTGCTCTCACTCTTACAGCTGCCTGCTCTCACTCTTACAGCTGCCTGCTCTCACTCTTACAGCTGCCTGCTCTCACTCTCACAACTGCCTGCTCTTACTCTCACAACTGCCTGCTCTCACTCTTACAGCTGCCTGCTCTTACTCTTACAGCTGCCTGCTCTTACTCTTACAGCTGCCTGCTCTAACTCTCACAGCTGCCTGCTCTCACTCTTACAGCTGCCTGCTCTCACTCTTACAGCTGCCTGCTCTCACTCTCACAACTGCCTGCTCTCACTCTCACAACTGCCTGCTCTCACTCTCACAACTGCCTGCTCTCACTCTCACAACTGCCTGCTCTCACTCTCACAACTGCCTGCTCTCACTCTCACAACTACCTGCTCTCACTCTCACAACTGCCTGCTCTCACACTCACAACTGCCTGCTCTTACTCTCACAGCTGCCTGCTCTCACACTCACAACTGCCTGCTCTCACACTCACAACTGCCTGCTCTCACTCTCACAACTGCCTGCTCTTACTCTCACAGCTGCCTGCTCTCACTCTCACAACTGCATGCTCTCACTCTCACAACTGCATGCTCTCACTCTTACAACTACCTGCTCTCACTCTCACAACTGCCTGCTCTCACTCTCACAACTGCCTGCTCTTACTCTCACAGCTGCCTGCTCTCACTCTCACAACTGCATGCTCTCACTCTTACAACTCCCTGCTCTCACTCTCACAACTGCCTGCTCTCACTTTTTCAGCTGCCTGCTCTCACTCTCACACCTACTTGCTCTTACTCTCACAGCTG